CCAAACTCATGTTCATGTGCCGCTTGGGCCAATGCAGGCAACCAAACAAAGTGCACTTGCGTATTACCTAATACAAGGACACTAGATGCAGGCAACCAAACAACTTGCAGATGGCGTATTAGGGCCTGTTTTTACTCAACCAGACTAGGTTGAGAAGTGTATGCGATGCAGGAACTGTTCACAAAGGCAACCAAACACGCCCTAAGCTCTTCACTAAAGAAAATAAAAAAAACTGAGCTAAGCTCGGTCCTACATTCCAACTACTATACATTCTTCTATATTTGTCGGGCCCACTAACCTAACCACATTTTGCCATCGCAAAGACAATGATTATCACACTAAAATCGTGCGTTAATGAATCTGCTCGCATATCAAATTCCTTGCTCCTATTTTAGACCAAAGTTTTAAAAGGTGAACAAAAGAAAATTACATGCCACAGTGTTTAGACTATGTGATTAGGTTATTTATAGGCTTCCAACGGTTATAACATTTTTTTTGCTTCATGACATCGATTATGCAAAAGTTTGTGGATATCAAAGCAAAGTTTGCTAATATTGCTTCATTCAGTTTACATCTTAACAATTAAAATGCTATAATGTTTTTTTTACAAGACAGAATAAGCACAATTGGAGAGCACATAGTAAATGGTTGTTTTATGGGAAGTGTTATCCCAAGAGATTTAGTACTCTTGTTAGAAAATATAAAGTGTTGCCTAGCCAGACACCAAATACCAGCCAAGAACATAGGATCAGATTAACACACCCTTCAAAGTGAATGTTTCATGAAGGCATTCGTCAACAAACTATTCAAGGTAATGTCAGCAACAATCATAAATAAATCTCATAGGGAGAAGTACAGAAGCTCTGGTGTGCTAGAAACTACGTTGCCACTAGAGTTTGACTACTGCATCTAGAAATTGGGCACATACATAGTCCACCATGGTACTGTGGACTGATTTTATAAACACTTCCTTGCCAGCTTGAGGACAACCCGAGAGTAACATTCTTTCCGTCAGCTTTTCTTGGCAATTCTGAAACTTCCCTTTGGTCATACGCACATCAGGAGTCAACATTCCCAAGCACCTTTCCTCAAAGTTTACATTCACCACTTCAAGTGTTTCCCTCACCTCATCTTGCACCATTGCTATTGGAAAATTAGGCAAGTTCATGATTAATTTCATTAAATAATTCATGACTAGAACAGATAGTAGCATGCAACAATCTAGCAAACTAGAAGAACAACAAAACAGCAGCAGTAGCACACATGAAACAATAGCTGTAGAGATAGACATGAACAGATGATGTTGGACGTACTATTCATTAGCTATTGTGGGTGCGACTGTGTTGATGATGATGTTGGCGATGATCTGTTGCTGAGGTGATGAAGACGACGATGAGTAGCACCGCCCAACTTGGACGGAAGACGACCCGTGATGACGAATCTGAGCAGTTGCGTAGAGCGCTTCCCAAAAACCTAATTCGTCCTCTCCCGGTGCAGGATCGCAAGGACGAACAGTTCCAGAGACCTGCTATCCCACGCACCGATGCACGCCGGTGTTTGGGATGGAGTAGACTACAAAGGCGGCGCAAGTTGCGAGATGAGGCAAAACCCTTGGCGTTTTCGGTGTGTCTTTGGCCGCAACCGGTAGCTGTATATATATTAGGACCAGAGGCGGTATTGTGTCGCGATCACAATCCCAAACCGACTTGGTTTCTAATTCGTATAATTACCGGACAAGAAATCATTAACTTGTCTGCCAAGACATAAAAATAAAATGGAAAAAGGAAGCTGCGCCCCTGCAAGGAGACGGACTAGATTTTGGTGGACCATTCACGCGCATGTCACACGTACTCGCCTCACCAGGCGAGGCGAGGCGAGCAAGCGCGTGTGTGGTCTTCCCTTTCTCTTCTCATACACCACTTAGAGTGGTGGAGAGAACCCACTATATAAAGAGGTCCAATTCTTGTTCAATTTCCGGGGTGGGACTAAACTTTAGCACCACCACTTGCCATTTTACACATGGGCCACTATTTGAGATTTCAGAAATTGCTATGGGCCTAGCCCATTAATTCTAACAATTGCTGGGCCACTACACTCATCCTTATATGGTCGCTACTCACTCCGACGGAGGCCAGAAAGCGTTTGGTTACTGGATCTATCCGATGGAAGACCGTAGTTCGGACTATCTTCAACCGGTCTGGATGGCGATCATATGTAATAGGATAGGTGTTTAGTTTCCTATCTGTTTTTTGCTATCCGGTTGTGGTTGTCCTATTTTTATTTTTTTTCAAAACTATCACCTTTTTATAGCTAATTCGGAAACTATAGTACCCATTGCCAATATACCAGAAATATGACCCTGTCGGTCTCGTGGTGGCCGAAGTGGTAGTTTTCGGCCAGAACTAGGCCGAAAAGGACTTTTCGTCCAGCTATAGGCCGAAATGAGCCTCAGTTGGGCCGAAGAGGTCTCGTCGGTTGGGCCTAGGCCGAAAATAGTAGCTTCGGCCAGGCCTAGACCGAAATTGGCCTTTTTCGGCCAGCCCGCAGCCGAAAAGCTTTTCGGCCAGGCCTAGACCAAAAAGGTCTGGATAAGGCCAATCCCATCGTCACCTTCCTCTTCCTGCTTGCCTCTTCTTTCTCTCTTTCCTCTCGTTTTTCTCTGTAGAGCTCCGGTCTCCTCCCTGATCTCCTCCAATTTGCACTCATTTACACAACCAAGGCACAGAATAGATAGATAATAGCATTCTCCACCGGCCTATGGTGTTTTTTTTGTTATGGGATAGTTTTTTGTGCGCTTGGGGGAGGAGCCATGGTTGGGTGGAGGAGGTCCGGTTGGGAAGGAGGTGGTGGTGAGGAGGAGCAGCAGCTGTGGAGGAGGAGGTGATGAGGAGGAGCAACAGCTTGGTGGGTGACCGGAGTTGAACCTCCGGCCGTCGAGTGGGCGGCGCTGCCGTTGTCCGGTGGCCGGTGCCGGTGACCGGAAGAGACGCACGCTTCGAAGGTATAACCATGGCGTCACAAATTTTCTCTAAATTGTATAGTTTATTAGTTAGTGTTAATATGTTTGTGGTGGCATTTTAGCGCGTAGTCAGTGTAGCGGGTAATATAAGTGTTCGTTGTGATTAATGAGAAGATGACAATGTCTGACAGGTGAAAATGTCTGAATCAGTAAATTTGACTGTTTACTACGGCGCTGGTAACGTTCGATATAATGAGTTGGGAGTTGATCTTAGCGAGTTTAAAAATGGCGTCATGACACTAGCAGACCCGGACAGACTGGGCATTAGACAATTGAAGTACTGGTTGACAACTAGTTTCGGGCTTGATCCTGAAGTATGTTCCGTCAGTATTCATGCATTGTGGACCAAATCTTGTAAAAATGTCAAGTGGGAGTTGATGCCGGTAGATAGGAGCCAACATTGGTTGTCCCTGTTAAGACGCTGCCGAGACCGAAGAATCCACCCATATGTACTTGTGCAACCTGTGCCGAAGGAGGAGAATGCCGTACAACTCCACAGGGGGTATGAAACCGGTCAGGGCAGTGAAGTGGCGACCGAGATTGTTTTATCCGGTTCACAGCCACAAGATGTGTATGCTAGCCAACCCGAGAAAGAGTCGGAGTACGTGCCACACAATGTTTGTGGTCCTGATACTGGGCAGAGTAGCCAGTTAATAATATTAGCTGGTTCTGGTTTTGCTGATGGGGATGAGGAAGGGGATGAAATGCAGAGGGTGATGGAGCAAGAGGACGAGGATGGATTGGTGGAGGAACTGGATTCTGAAAATTCTGAGGATGAAGTGGAGGTACCGATTCCTTCTGCATGGGAGCAGGACATATCCACCGGCCTTACGGTCAACGATGGCCATGAGACTCCATGGCAGTATAATCTGAACCAAGTACAGATAGGGGCTATGTTTGATACAAAGAAAAAATTGAAGTATGCGGTGATAAAGTGGGCTATGTCTACGCAAAGGGTTTTCCGGACACACATATCAAGTCCAACAAACTATACCGTGAAATGTGTTGAAACAAGTTGTCCTGGGAAGGTGCACGGGCATGTGCTGAAGTATGACATCCACTGGGTTGTCACCATTGTCGTCCCATATAATTGTGTGAGGAAGAACCTGTTGGTGAAGCATCCGAACCTGACTTCAAGTCTCATTGCGCAACTCATGTATACTGAGATAGTAGAGAAGAAAGATATGGAAGCAAAACACATCCAGACAGCAGTGAAGGTCAGATGGAATTATGTCATTCCTTATGGGAAGGCTTGGAGGGCTAAGCAAAAGGCTATGGAGGAAAGGTTTGGGACGTTCTTCGACTCATATGATAATGTTGTCCGTCTCCTGGGCATACTGAAGGAGAGGAATCCCGGCACTTATGTGAACGTACAACACATGAGGTTGCTGAGTATACCAGATTTCAAGGTGTTGAAACGAGTGTTCTTCTCTTTTGGTATGTGCATCAAAGCTTTCCGGCATTGTCCTCCTGTTATGTTTGTGGATGGTACATTCCTGACCGGTCAGTATAGAGGGCAAATTCTGACTGCTATTGGTGTGGACGGGAACAATCAAATCATCCCACTTGCCATGGCATTTGTGGAGGGTGAGAACTTTCTCAGCTGGGTATGGTTCTTCCGCCAAGTGAAAATTGCCATCGTGAAGGACCGACCAAACGTGTGTGTCATTCATGACAGACATGCTGGTATATTGAAGGCCGTGAAGACACTTCGTAATCCAACATATGACGAACCAACACCTTGGAGGGACTTGCAGAGCCGGTGGTGCATGCGCCATCTTGGGGCTAATTTTTTCTCACAGTTCAAGAACAAGCGGTTGATGAACTTGTTTTAATTTGTAATATGTCAGGACTATGTTTTAATTTGTAATATGTCAGGACTATGTTTTAATTTGTAATATGTCAGGACTATGTTTTAGTTTGTAATATGTCAGGACTATGTTTGTATTTGCACCTGAGATTTGTTGTTTGAATTGCAGATATGTCTTTGTATCCGTTGCTTAATGGTAACATTGATAGAAAGCACCGGGGCGCCCTATTGGAAGCGGGCAACAACTTAGACGTGTTGGTCACTCGTACCCCAAAAACTAACTGGCTGATACACGATTCATGGGTTGATAGGTATGTGTGCATATAATGGAGTCCATATATTGACTTACTATGTTTGACATACTTTTCATAGCCGCTAACAATCTTGTTATTTTGTAGGTTAAGTTGGGCTGGACTTCTACCCTTGGCACGGCTGGTTGAGGGTACATTGGATGAGTGGATTGATGGTCCGGACTTAGATGAGGCAGGTGAACCAGTGCAGTTACACAAGAGGCAAGTGAAACGTTTCTCTTACGACAAGTCACTCCTTACCTGCTTAGTAGATAGATGGAGGCCAGAGACACATACGTTTCACTTTCCATGGGGAGAAATGGCGCCTACTTTACAGGATGTGTCTTACTTGTTAGGATTACCTCTGGCCGGTGCTGCCATAGGTCCCTTAGAGGCAGAATCTGGGTGGCAAACAGCGATGCAGACCCGTTTTTTGGCTGCGGTCCCGACTGCTAGGGCCATAGACAACGATCCTCATGGACCTCTTTTTAGATGGTTGAGCCAGTTTCAGGTAACCATCACAGGCCACTTAAACAAATGTTGTTTTTTAGTTGCCCGATTTTCATACAATTGTTACGTTTCTATGTAGATTGTCTCGTTAGGATATCCCGATGTTCAGTTGTCGGAGGCACAAATTGACCGGTCCCTAGAGGCATATATTCTTTGGCTGTTCGGCAAGACGATGTTTACGGAGAACCACGTGACCACTGTCGATGCACGACTCATCGGTATTGCACGAGAGATAGCTGACGCATGTTGCCCTGCGGATATTCTACAGAGGAGTTTTGGTTCTGCTGTGTTAGCGGCTACGTATAGAGGCCTGTGCAAAGCTTGCTTGTTGAAGTCTAGAAAATCTGGTGTTGTTGGATGTCCATTATTGTTGTAACTCTGGTCATACGAGAGATTCCCTATTGGACGACCCTATGTCTACGTTGATAAACCTTTTGGTTTGGAGGACTTAGCTGGGGCTTATGTGCCTGCTATCGGCGATTTACCTACTATGGGTTCTGTTTGGGCACGACGAGAGGTACTTTTATATTAAGTAATAATTAATTCAATTATTTCTTGCCATTCAATAGTATTACTAATGCTTATTTGTTGTCATGCACAGAGACAATTTGCGCATAGTCAGGTTAGGGGATGCTACCCGTCCTTCACGGCGCAGTTTGATAGTTTGCACGAGGATCAAGTTATCTGGGAGCCATACTCGGCTCAGGCTATATCATCAAGGTACCCAGTTGGGATTTCTGGATTATGCACTAGAGATCGGCACTTTTGGATGACCAAGGCCAAGTTGGTGTTCGATGTGACGGTTGAGGAGATGTCTCTTCATAGGGTGATGAGACAGTTCGGTCTATATCAAGAGCCTGAGATTCCAGATATTCCACACTTGCCAGACCACGTGCACAAGTAAGTACTAATACTATTTTAGTTGTCAGCTATACATTCATAATATACCTAATCATGTATCGCGCATGTCAATATCAGGGCCAATTGCCTAGGAGGAAACAAGTCCATGGATTACTGGCTTAAGAGCATTACCCCTTACATTGACGAATGGACTACCGCTGCGACAAATATCTGGGGTGAGGTTCGGGCCTTTAACTGGGAAATGTTCGGGTTGTATCTGCAGCGTTACCGGCATACAACGAGGATCTACTTGGTTCCATCAGCTGCTCCTGATCAGATCGAAGACCCTCTCACCAGCGATATGTACCCAACTGCCTATGTTGTGGGAACCAGACACCACGCGGTAAATGCCTTGGTTCTTATATGTTGAGTCTTTTGTTAATCTGGACATATTCGCTTGGGTGTCTATTCGTGGTGTCTATCATACAACAAGGATATAATTGGTTAACTCTTCATCTACAGGGTGACTTGACAGTACAGGTGCGAGAGGAAGTTTCCGCTTTAATGCGGCGCTTTCAGAGGGGAGAAACTATCCCACCGCGAGAGGGCGTCTCATGGTTGAGGTGTCTTGATGACAAGCTACGTGGGATTTACGCAGCTGTTACATGTAGACGGTCTTCGGATGTTGCACTTCCTCCTCCAGCACATCGTCCGCCACGTCCCTCTGTACAGCATTCAGAACCACGACCCTCTGTGCACCGTTCACAACCACGACCTTCTGTGCACCGTGAAGAACCTCATCCTCCACAGCCAGGGAGCTCTTCCTGGCATGAGCCACCTCCTTCACAGCCAGGGAGCTCTTCCTGGCATGAGCCACCTTCTTCACAGCCAGGGAGCTCTTCCTGGCATGAGCCACCTCCTTCACAACTAGGAAGCGCTTACTGGCATCAGCAGATGGAACTAGGTAACCCTACTCACTACATTCTTTTCAACAGAGTAGTAATCATTCATGCATTTGTATCAATTTTACATGTTTTACTTTACCGCAGGCGGCAACTAGTCGCAACCGTTCATGCATTCAGAGCAGTCACCCATCCTTAGTGGTGGTGCTGATTACTTTGAGGGCGACCGCAAGGATGATGACCATGCTACAAACATTTATGGCTTCTCGCAGACAGTGTTTCACACTCCACCACCACCACCGACGCAGGAGACACAGACCGTGACAGACGAGGTTAACTATGGTCGTGGTTATCGCGAGCCTCGTCCACCGCCTCAGCGCTTATCGCCTTCCGGTCCTCGCCCGAGGAAGACCCAGACTCGTCGTCGTCCCCCGCAGTGATATGCTTATCTATCTATGTATGACTCATTATCTATGTTAGTTTCAGACTATTCGCATATGTGTGTCAGTATTTATGTATGAGACACGCTTCATGTATGTGTTACTATGACACTTCCTTCTATCTGATCAGGAGACATATATTGTTTTATGTATGCGAGAGACATATTACTATTAATTCGCATTCTTATTCCAGTTGAACTTGTGCAATACATCTTACATACTACAAAATGAAATTCAGATAGAACATAATACAATACAAACTAATAATGCAAATACATCTGAATGAAACGGTACAACTGGAATACATCTTACATACTACAAGAAGTCATCATCGTCATCCTCCGTTGATGCAGCCCTCTTGCCCTTCGACGATGCGCTCCTCTTGCCCTCCGTCGATGCAGAACTTTTGCCCTTGCTGGATGCAGAACTCTTGCCCTTCGAGGATGCAGAAGTCTTGCCTTTGGACGATGCAGAACTCTTGCCCTTCGACGATGCAGAACCCGGAAGCGGCGACATGAAGATATCTTCGTCGTCCTCGCTCTCCTCAGTCCATAAAAATGTATTCTTTGCTGCAGTCCTTCTGAAAGTTTCACTCTTCGGCTCCACTACCTTCTTCCACCTTTCATGCAACCTAAGAAGTTCTTGACGTACCTCCTCATAGGTCCTTTCAGGCCACCCAGACCTACGTAATTGGTGAGCCAACTCATTCATTATGGTGTCACTACCGGTGAGTTCGTCCCATGGAACTATCCTATTGTCCATCCTGAAATCGGTAACTAGACTCAGAAGAGTGCTGCTCATCCCAGGGTGAAAACTACGATCGAACGGATAATGGGACATCTCGACTACACTACACTGGAATGCTTATCCACCTTCGCCTGAAGGGGGTTTTATAGATATAGAGGAGAAAATGGCGGGAAAGAATAACTGCGTTATGGCGGGAAAGGGTTGGCGGGGAAATAAGGCGGGAAGGGATTGGCGGGAAAATAAGGCGGGAAGGGATTGGTGGGAAAATAAGGAGGGAAGGGATTGGCGGGACATGGGTGGCGGGAACATATGGTGGGAAGGGGTTGGCGAGAAACGAGTGGCGGGAAGGGGTTGGCGGAAAACGGGTGGCGAGAAAATACATTTCAGCATGAGCCATGCAACTTCGGCCTACACGAGACCGAAGTACTCCCTCCGTTTTTATTTAGTTCGCATATTAGCTTTGGTCAAAGTCAAGCTTTACAAACTTTGACCAAGTTTATAAACAAAAATATTAAGATATACAATAACAAATGAACAACATTAGATTTATTATTGAATGGACTTTCACATTGTATAGATTTATTATGATAAATGTCTATATTATTTTCTATAAACTTGGTTAAACTTTATAAAGTTTGACTTCAGTCAACTCTAATATGCAGAGTAAATAAAAATGGAGGGAGTAGTACTTTTCGGCCTAGACTTGACCAAAAAGTCTATTTCGGCCAAGAGTTGACCAAAAATTAACTTTTCGGCCAGGTGCCCCACTCTTCGGTCAAGTGTTGGCCGAAAACCCTACTTCGGCCTAACTGTGGCCGAAAACTTCTACTTCGGCCAAAAGATGGCCGAAAACTACTACTTCGGCCAAAAGATGGCCGACGGGCTACTAGTTTTGGTTTTTTTGCATTACGTCCTATAGTTTCCGAAAATGCTATAAAATATATCATAGTTTTGAAAAAAAATCTCCTATTTTTGCTTTCGTGCTCTCTGTTGAGCACCTCTTCCGTTGTTTGAGACTACGAGACTTCTGTTGAACCTTTTGCTTATTAATAATATGGCCGTATGCATCTTTCTGATGCAGAGGCCGGGGCAAATCCTCTTTTCGAAAAAATTTGCATTTTGAAACTGACCAGTAGTTGATTCATAGCTTGCCAAAATGCTTTTAACTTGGATTGCTTGTTCTCGGTTGGCCTTAAAAAATAACATGATGTCATCCGCAAATTGCAGGTCTGAAATTCACGGAGCACATCTACACACTTGTAATGGAGATATATTTTCTTGAGGAGAAAGCAGTTCTACCCACCTCAAAACAAAACAGAAGCACTTGTACCATGTGTGGATCCATCATTCATGGTTTCTTTGAGATTTCTGCTATTTTTCAATATATTCATAACTTGTCTTGTTTCAAAGCGTTACATTGGTTTTCTTTTTCTCATTTCAAAGTGTATTTTAATGCGTTGTGTATCAGCAAATCCGATCCAAAACAAGTACTCCATCCAATCCATATTAAAGCAACAATTAATATGGATCAGAGGGAGTACATTCTTTCTTATTGGTAACAGAATGAACCATGATGAGACATGTCAAAACAAGAAAAAACCTAACAAAACATTTTGAAACAAGGTAATTTATGACAATAACCAATAAGGTAACATGAATCTCAAAGCAAACACAGACGGTGAATCTATAAACGAGTTATCCCATGCACGGTAGATAAACTGCCCTCCTCAGTTGAGCCCTTCCCTATATGAACGAAATGACGGAGTAGATTATTCATGGTGTGCAGGCTCTGAACAAATAGAAAAAAAAAGCAACATCTATAATAAATTAAGGCAATTCGGGCTAGTTTGGATTGCGTCCTCGTGCTACCTTGCCTGATGTGAAACTATGCGGAGTTATGTCTCGCTTATTTGAGACATACTTTTTTTTTTTTTGAGAAAAGTTTGCTAGGCCTTTATTGATTAGTAAAATTTAGCAGGAATTACAATTGGGTCATGCGGCGTACCCAGCACATATGCCTCCCCACCGGGGGAAACACCGTACCTAGCTAGCATGTGAGTTTCATAATTCGAAGCTCGAGGTTCAAAGGAGAAATTACAAGATGCAAAGGAATGAGAATTATCTAAAATCTCTCTAATGATAATGAGACCTAGCTCTGCCTCGACTCTGGCGGCTAGCAGATGCGTTGTCTTAGTGGGCCAATCTAATGAACCAGTTTTCTTGAAGGTTCTAAGGATCAGTTCATGGAACCTTCCATCGGTTTAAGGAAGATTCATTTTTTTTCTTTTTCTGTGTTTTTTTACGGTTTTCATCGGGTTTTTTTCTGTCCTTTCTTTTTTCTAGTACATATCAATTTTTTAATACCCATTATGATATTTTTGTACACACGCTGAACATTTGTTTGATATACGATGAACAAATTTTTACATTGTTTAAACATATATTTTTGAAGTCACTTAACATACTATTGAAACACATGAACATTCTTTTGAATACAAAACATTTTTTACATTGGATAATATTTTATAAACATATCACAGATGTGAAAAAAAATTAATGCCACGAGTTTTTTTAATTGTATGAAATATATTTTTAAAATACTCAAAGATTTTTTGTACATTGTATAACCACGTTTCAAAATGTCATGAATACGTTTTTGGAACCCGTGAATTGTTTTTAATGCTACGGGCATTTTTTCATTGTATAAACATTTTTTTCAAATGCCACGAACATTTTTTGAGAAGCATGAACATTTTTTTGAATGTCATTTGCCATTTCCCCTTCTTGTAGATTTTATTGATGTATTGAACATTATCCCAGAGCTGGAGCCCGCCCTGGATGGCACCACATGTGCAAAGATATCGGTTTCTACAGCTTCCGCTGATATATGCCTGAATCAATTGGTACAACAAGTTGTTTTACAATCCTCACAAAAATAAATCAAGTTGTTTTAACTCATACTCCCTCTGCCCCATATTTAAGACGTTTTTTAACACTACACTAGTGGCAAAAAACGTCTTACATTATGGGATGGAGGGAGTAGTTTTTACAGTACATTGCAAAGTAGTACCAGCCAAGTTGTTGTGATTCAAACAGCTTCATAAGCAGAAGGTTAAACAGCTTCAAAGTAGTACCAGGCGGGGTAATATAAGTAAATTCTTGGAATACAAAACAAATTCTGACACAGGCAGGGCAGGGTAGCCAGCAGAGACACAAAGAATCAGAAACAGAAGCTTGGCACATATGAACCAATCATACAAATTAATCAAACGACTGCCTTATTACTGTATGTCAAACTAATTTCATCCTTAGCACCAGCAGTGCGTATATATGCCAAACTGATCAACCAACAGTGGCATCAGCAGACAGCAGTATGTATCTTTGCCAACACAAGAAAGATGCACAGGTAAGTATCTCTGCTTCATTACTGTATTCACTAATATGTAGGGAGCAGCCCAACACAACACTATTAACCTAGCAATTGAATTTCTGCATCAGAGATCAATTATATACCAGCCAACAATGAAGGAGTTCCAATGTGATCACACAAGAAGATTCACCGTATACCAGCCAACAATTCACACAACACAAGTTTTTCTTCCTATCAAAGAAGAAGTCACAAGTGTATATGCTATGCCTACCCCAACTTCATCACTGCATGTAGATGCCTACCCCTAACTCTCTACCACTAAACTCGGAAACACTCTCATTCATAGGCAGCAGCCCAACTCAACTTTAATCCAGTGGAGTCTGTTGACTTGAACTCTGATCTGGGAAGTCTGTTGGCTTGAAGCCTGATCAACACCATGTTCTCTCTAGGAAGCCTGATGACTTGAATTCTCAGCAGGAGGAGCACGTGGGTAGATGATTCCGTAGTGATCTCCGGAGTACAGCAGGGTCACTCTTGGACGGAGAACTCCAGGAACAGTGTAGATATCTGGATCATGTCCTCCTCGGACTCGCTCCACTCTGAGGGGTACCTCAAGCGCTGTGGCCAAGGCCACCATCATAACATGATCCGTGAACCGACGAGCTGGCGTGACGCGCCGAATACACCACTGTTCGTAGAACAACAACAGGTTAGGTAAGTTGAGTGTCATGTATCCAAGAATGGATGCATTGGAAATCAGCACGACGTAATGTAAGGGAGGATATGAATCACTGACATCTTCCAGAGTGTAATTTCCTCTGAGCCCTGGTATAAGCGGTTCATACACCTCCTCGTGCGAGCATATCTCGATAGCTACTACCAATCTGAGGAAAATGAAGACTAACCAAGAAAATGTGTCAGAAACATGAAGTATGATGAACAAAAGGAAAAATGACTTCAAGGGTGTTTCTCTCACTGTCTAGCGTCGTATCGTACTTGCTGAAGAACTCGAGAAGTTTCTCTTTACGGTTGCTAAAAATGGCACATATTATGTCAGTGAGATGGAATGCACTTGGCTACGATACTATGATGGAATTGCAGAAAACCAAGCGAGTCAAGAACCTGCTAGTTGATTCCATGCTGTTCCGCCTGCCATGTTTCTTCCATCTCATCACTTTCTTGATCAGATCCTTAAATGCCTGAAAGAAGCAGCGACTCAATAATTCATACTTGATAATCATATGTAATAGGTTACAATGATACATACAGAATACTGACCAGTAGCAAGATATAAAAGAACACAGCTAAGACAACTCGCCTGAGAAGCTTTAGTCACTAAGCATATACTATAGCATAGTAATAGAACAGTGAGGTGGCTATACAATAATAACCGGTAGGTGTGCATTGTTGTAGTGCTCAAACAAGCATAAAATTAAGTCATTTCCTCATTATAATCCCGTTGTTCCTTTGCAAGTATATTTTCTTAAGGCCGTTGTTACAATCGGGTTGTTAACTTTTCAATAAACTTCAAATTTGAGTTTCTGCCAACAGTGCGTAACACTGATGGCATGCCACTACTGTTAAGCAATTGTGCATCTCCTGCAAATGACAAACAAAGATAGTGAGATGCCAGATGCTTCTTCAAGTGTACTGTAACCTGAAGAGAATCATCCCTTGCAAGCATGTTTATCCAAGAAAGAACAAGTATGGAGAAGGCGAGAACTTACTCTGCTGCTCCTGGAAAACTCAGAGTTCCACCGAAGATTTGCATGTTGCGTAGACAGTCTTTGAACAACATCAAGGAGACGCTGTTCCTCATGTGTGTCCTGCCTATCAATAACTTGCTCCTGTTGTACATTCGCAAAAACAGAGAAAGTTAAATAACTAAACCTACATCCTATGAAAGGAAAAGAGGGGAGGATGATTACAAGGTATGAAAATATGAAGCTCCTGTAGAAACACTCCCCATCTCCAATAACCGATCGATATTCCGAATAGGCATCAAGATGGTTTGCCTCGTCAGAAGCAAGCTTATGATATCTTCTGACTTCAGTGATGGGATGTGTCTGCAAGGAACACACAAATATGAGAATTCAAATTACGCTGAGTTGAACATGGAAACAATATATCTAAAAATGTGATGGGAATTTTGTTTCCAATAAATTTTCAGGTTTCCATGTTCTCTGGAAATGTTTGAAACCGCTAGTATATAATCTCATCATTAATACTGATCGGTTGTTGTTCAGTAAGAAAACAAGAAGATATCTATTAACACATGATAAACTCAGTAACAGTACAAGTACGATTCAGGTCCCATCAATCACAACCAAGAGTCAACATACAAGTTTAGTATTTATAAAAGAGAACATAATCCTTCTGAACAGTTGATTGTACAGGAACCACTAATCACAGTATCTTGTGATATAGGGCTTTGATCCTGATTTTTCTTGCACTTCCATTTTGAACATTCCATTAGGCAAAATGGAGACAAACCTGGTGCTTCACATGTTCCGAACATATTTCCATTCCTTTTCCACAAAAAATCTATTTGACAGGAAATGAAGAAAACGAAGTTAAAGACCATACATCATCCTGCCAGTCTTACAATTGTACAGAATCAACAAGAAGATTGAGTATTTCAAAACAAGAAAGAACGGAATAGAAAACGAATGGAATTAACAAACAACCAATCAATTTATTTTTCCTTTTCCCGGTCAAAAGAAAAAGGCAATAATGTATAGCAAGAGCACAAAACGTGTGCGTCCAAAGCTTATTTATTTTGGGCAACTATTTACATGAAATTATATTCTGAGACTTCTGAACCAACTATTGACCAAATGGCGAAACTTCTCACCAGATCCTGAAGTGATCGCCGATTTTCCATGTAAATGGCAAATGATTTACAGGAATTATCTTCAGTTATGCAGCCTTGAACTAATGTTTGTCTAGATTACAGTTTCTGATAACAGCATCTGTTTACAAAGGAAGCCATACATTCGACTTCAGGCTCTGTTACCAAAATATTGCAGTAATCAGACAACAGTTTCAACAAGATAGCCATTTGCTTCAAAATACAATGCCAGATTGTGGAAAGATCCACGAGAAACAAGGACATGTGTACTTCTTGCCAACGTTTGCCCAAGATTACTCCTATACTCTATGATGCCGCGTACCACTCTAACCAAGATTTCATGCCTCGATTACACTAACAGGTCCAAGAATTTAACATGAACAAACAGAAACCAAAAACCAAAAATTCCTGATTCTTCTTTCTATGCACAAAAATTAGGTAAGTGCAAGAATGCTCATATAGTCATACCACCCAAGAATCACAAGTGAGAAGAGTGGACAAGATTCAGCCCATACCTTGTTCTTGACTCGACTCCAGATCGATTTCCCCTTTACTTGCGGTAGTTTGTCCTGCTTGGGTGTCACCTTTACCACAACCTGTACTTGTGATAGTTTCTCCTGCTCCACAGAATTAGCATCAAGATCACACATTTCGGATTAGAGTGAAAGGGCTAACAAGATTGAAATGTTGAGTCATCCAAATCCTTTCTACTCTTGCCAATTATTCATATGAATCGAGTTTTGAGGCTTCGGAGCCAGTTTCAGGCTTTCAGGCAACAGATGATGTACGTCTGGCCAAGTAATTCCGAGCAAACATTCAGATAAACTTCCCCTATAACACCATTCATCTACACTGGAAACTGATACATTTTGGCATCAAGATTTCTTGCCAAAATATGACAGCAATCACTGCCAAGACATGATCCTCATATCCCCCCACATTTTTCACTTGCAGCAAAAGTGCAAAACATGCTAACATATACCAAACCAAATAGAAGAATCAGTTAGCACAAGCCTGGACACCTAAATCTTGAACAGTCGCGAATAATCACAACAAGATCCTTGCCTACCTCTAAATTTGATAACGCACCGCAAGACTCGAGTAATAATCAGGAAATGCCTAATCGTCAAACTGTCCCCAACATTTGCCCGAGATTTCGTTTCCACTGCTAAATCATCCCCAACCCCAACATTCTGACAGACCACAGCAAGCAATTCCGAGCAAGCAAGAAGACCAGATTCATGCTCATACCTGTTCCTTCTGGTACATCGCCTCTTCCGCGCGCAACGAGTTGTACTGCTCAACAGGAAACCAAGAAACGCTCAAGAACGCACTCGAGAGGCTCCAAGAACTCCAAGAAACAACAAGAGCACGTCGCAGAGGCCCTCACCTGCTGTTCCCATCGCCTGGTCCCCTCCTCGACGGCCGCCTGTTGTTCCCGTCGCCTGTTCTCCTTGTCGACGGCCGCCTGCTGTTCCCGTCGCCTGTTCGCCTCCTCGCTTGCCGCCTGCTCTTGAATCAGCTGCTCTATCACCGTCTGCTCGAACACCGTGTTGGGGTCGAACGGCTGCTCCTTGTCGACGGCCGCCTGCGCTTCAATCAGCCGCTCGATAAGCCGCTGTCTGGCCACCAGCTTGGGGTCCAAGTCCAACGGATGCGCCGCCGCGTTGGGCACCTCCCTCGTCTCCGCCACCACGGGGTGGCTCCACTTCACCCGCGCCTTTCTGCCGCCCATCTTGCTCGACTCCCCGACCTCGTCTCCGAAGGCCGCGCCGAAGTCGAGGGAGCTGCCGCTGCTGCTGCTCGCGGAGTTCGGAGGAGAAGGAATGGTGGAGATTCCCTTGCCCTTCCGGGGGTCGACCGCCGTGGCGGGGCTCGACCCATCGGCGCCGCCTCCGGCCTGGTCGAGGTGGAGGGGCGTCGCGGGGGGAGGTGGCGGCGCAGCAGCGGCCGGGGCCCCATCCCCATTGGAGGAGGCGTTGGAGTTGGGGTCCGGTTCATCGATGCGGTCCTCCGCGACCGGCTCTGAACCGGGTGCGGGTGGCTCCATCGCGGGCGCGGCGGGAGGACTCGCCTGGCAATTCCGCTAACTCGCGGGGGGCGTGGAGAAGAAACGTGTGGAGGGTGTGGGATGGAAAAAGGCAGAAGGTTTGACGGCTATTTATTAGGAAACTCTGATGGCGGTTTGATCCCTCGGGAATTCTCATTTTGCAACTAACTCCACATTGAACCACATATTAGAAGCAAGGAAGTGGTTGTTCGGTTTATATGGTTAATTCGCTTCGTCTTATTGGGTTTTTTAGAGTTTTGTTTCCTGGAAAATAACAACTGAAATAATCACAATAAAACTTGCCACTGAACCTTATTAACAAAAAATTATCGGTTTGGTTTGTTCGGTTAACTGGAAAACCGAAATACATGGCCACCATCATCCATCCAAGCAGTGTGTCATGTAGCGATTTGTTATACTTTATACAGACATGAGCATCAATCATCTCAGATAAAAGATATGATTGTGCATTAGTACTACTAGTAGCATGTAATAAGATCCTAAAATCGATGCACTAGTACTTGCATTTTAATTATACATGTGTGTAAGCTATGTGCTAATTATTTATAGGACCAATGCACTTGTATTTGATGAGTCCATATACATCTTTAGGTGTTTTTTTAGTTTGCTTAGGAAACTTGTCATGCTCAGGAAGGCGAGGCGGTGGTGGCTCTATGAAGATGGAGTAAGGTTCTTCCTGCCCAGCCCATCCCGGTGATAGGTTTAACATCGTTGGAGGGCATGTGGAGGTGTGTCTCCAGCGATCTCACAGGATTCCGTCCGTGTTTATCTTTTGGTGGATCTGTATGCATCCGGTATTTGGTCGGTGTTTATCATTTTTGCTATGCACATCACATAATGGTTGTAATTAGGTTTTTGACCAATTCTTCAGTGGTTATGTTTCCGGCCAGTTCTAGTACTTCTAAGCTGGACTATTGTCTGCCAAGTAAATTTACATGCGAAGTTGGTATTCTCAAGTCGATACTTTGCTTGAGTAACAACATCCTTACAAGATGAAAAAGAAAGTGTGTCTCAGATTTCACGCTGAAGCATGAGTCACCAGCTGGGATGCTCTTGAACATGTGCTTGCTCACACTGGTTTCCTCAAGATCTGATTTTTTTTAAAGTGCCACAAACTTAATTATTTTAACATGTTCATATACATCAAGATTTTCCAAAGCAAACTTATATGAAAAATATCACAAATGGGCCCGTCTACGAGGATATTACCTAAATTATCACTATTGTGGTAGAAAGTCGTCGGGTGATATGTGTAACCTTCCCTGATCGAATAACGTACTCAATGACAATAAAAGTGAACTCCGCGCGAACGAGGCGAGAGCCAATTTCATATTCCCTAGTTTCGTTCGTGAAGTACTTAGCTTGTGTCGCAAAATCAATATGTATATGTTACACCGTGTTTATTACGTCTACAAATCTATGAAAATGCAAGTGAGTGCATAGTTTTTATTTGTAATGCCTACATATTTTATATATAAAGGAGTCTATAGCAGACTATCTAAATTATCATGTAACAACATGGGAGTAATACACCATGCAGTATGAAAAAAAAGATGGTACTGACATTTCCTAACGGGTGGGCACCACATTTAGCATATCTGGATGGGTTTACCTTCCAAAGCATTTCAGTTGTGATCATGAAGCTATTGTTGCTTTAACTAGTACTCCTCCGTTAAGAAATATAAGAGTGTTTAGATCACTAAAGTAATGATTTAAACGCTCTATAAAGAATTAAAGGGTGTAAGGTTTACATGTACTAGACAAACATAGCTCGAGGCAAAGGGGACCAAGCTACGTTCACTGAGATTAATGCATGATTAGTCTTTATCTTTTGTGTAGTAAGCCCATGGTTATCCGCCCTGAAGGAACAACAGTGTTCAGCGGAATTTGACGACTCTGGGCCTACCTTGAACTTCAACTACATCCAAGAATGTACGGCTACAACAACCACATACCTCTTTAAGCATTGTGACTTGCCAATGGTACCATTGAAGAGTCGGATTTCTTCATTCAACCCACTCGTAAAACAACCAAGACACAAATTGAAACCCTTTTGCACTTCTGTTATGAGAACTTCTATAGTCACCTCAACGACATGTTCAAGATGTGATATTGATGTGTCAATTGCACCAGAGTCGCCATGGATGCATCTTCTGAGTGTGTGACGATGCGATGAGTCCACTTTGCCAATGACTGATGCACCATCGATCAGTTGCATATCATGCTTTTCTTGTTCACCCACCTTGATCCTCATGTCATATTCGATTGCAATTTCATCACTAAATTCTATCCCTCTTTTAGGGCCAGTCATGGTGATGAGAGTACCCTATAAGATTATCATCATTATTTAGTAGTTTTTCATTTAAATAAATATCTAAAGCTAAATAATTCCATTATGGTATTTAACTTGTAAGAATAACTTGCAACTAATGTAGCTAGTTCATTGTTTTTTTCAAACAAAGAGCATGCCTCGTCGATTTCCATTAAAGAAACGGCTAGTGTTTCTACAAGGACATAAGCAAAAGCAAAACAAAAGGAAGTGTGAAATGTCTAGTTGCAAACTATAAAAGAAAGCCTCTAAATCAAAGTGCTCATACAAACCAAATGCATAAGGATCATAACATAAATGATTACACCATCCAAACTAAATGATTAAAAAGTGCATGATGGTGTTAGAGAAGGAAAATTGGCCCCCTCAATATATTTGATTTGTATTTAAATCCCAAATTTTAATTGCATAAACCTATTCAAAGGAATAAAGAATAGAGAAAATAAATAGTGATGGGATCATTCATCTATGCATGTCCCTACGCCTATAAACAAAATAAAATCAATTGCGTGTGGTGTACAAAGTGAAGGAAATATGCCCTAGAGGCAATAACAAAGTTATTATTTATTTTCTTAATTCATGATAAATGTTTATTATTCATGCTAGAATTGTATTAACCGGAAACTTAGTACATGTGTGAATACATAGACAAAACATATAGTCCCTAGTATGCCTCTACTTGACTAGCTCGTTAATCAAAGATGGTTATGTTTCCTAACCATAGACATGTGTTGTATTTGATGAACGGGATCACATCATTAGGAGAATGATGTGATGGACATGACCCATCCGTTAGCTTAGCATTATGATCGTGTCAGTTTCATTGCTACTGCTTTTGTCATGACTTATACAAGTTCCTCAGACTATGAGATTATGCAACTCCCGAATACCGGAGGAACACTTTGTGTGCTACCAAACATCACAACGTAAAAGGGTGATTATAAAGGTGCTCTACAGGTGTCTCCGAAGGTGTTTGTTGGGTTGGCATAGATCGAGATTAGGATTTGTCACTCCGTGTTTCAGAGAGGTATCTCTGGGCCCTCTCGATAATACTCATCACTATAAGCCTTGCAAGCATTGTGACTATGAGTTAGTTGCGGGATGAAGTATTACGGAACAAGTAAAGAGACTTGCCGGTAACGAGATTGAACTAGGTGTTGAGATACCGACGATCCAATCTCGGGCAAGTAACATACCGATGACAAAGGGAATAACGTATGTTGTTATGCGGTTCGACCGATAAAGATTTTCGTAGAATATGTAGGAGCCAATATGGGAATCCAGGTTCCGCTATTGGTTATTGACCAGAGAGGTGTCTCGGTCATGTCTACATAGTTCTCGAACCCGTAGGGTCCGCACGCTTAACGTTCGTTGATGATATAGTATTATATAAGTTATGTATGTTGGTGACCGAATGTTGTTCGGAGTCCCGGATATGATCACGGACATGACGAGGAACTCCGGAATGGTCTAAAGATAAAGATTGATATATGGGATAATAGTGTTTGGTCTCCGGAAGGGTTCCGGAATTCACCGGAAGGGGTTCCGGATGTTTCCCGAAATGTTTGGGTACGAGAACACTTTATTTGGGCCAAAGGGGAAAGCCCACAAGGTTTTTGGAAAGCACAAAAGGAAGTTTTGCAGAGTCCAAGGGCCAGACGCCAGGGTCCTTGGCGTCTGGGTCCATATGCCAGGAACCTTGGCGTCTGGCCCTGGAGTCCGAGAAGGACTCTTGCCTTTTGGGTGAAACCGACTTTGTGGAAGCTTTTACTCCAAGTTTCGACCCCAAGGCTCAACATATAAATAGAGGGGCAGGGCTAGCACCAAAGACATATCAAGAAACACTAAGCCGTGTGCCTGCAACCCCGTCCCCTCTAGTTTATCCTCCGTCATAGTTTCTGTAGTGCTTAGGCGAAGCCCTGCGGAGATTGTTCTTCACTAGCACCGTCACCATGCTGTCGTGCTGCCGGAACTCATCTACTACTTCGCCCGCCTTGCTGGATCGAGAAGGCGAGGACGTCATCAAGCTGAACGTGTACTGAACGCGGAGGTGTCGTACGTTCGGTACTTGATCGGGGTGGACCGTGAAGGTGTATGACTACATCAAACGCGTTGATAAACACTTCTGCTTAGCGATCTTCAAGGGTATGAAGATACACTCCCCCTCTCGTTGCTATGCATCATATAAATAGATCTTGCATGATCATAGGAATTTTTTTGAAATTACTGCGTTCCCCAACAGTGGTATCAAAGCCAGGTCTATGCGTAGATGTTATATGCACGAGTATTACACAAAGTGTTGTGGGCGATAATAGTCATACTGCTTACCAACATGTCATACTTTGATTCGGCGATATTGTTTGATGAAGCAGCTCAGACCGACATTACGCGTACGCTTGCGCGAGACTGGTTCTACTGACGTGCTTTGCACATAGGTGGCTGTTGAGTGTCTGTTTCTCCAACTTTAGGTTAATCGAGTGTGGCTACGCCCGGTCCTTGTTGAAGGTTAAAACAACACACTTGACGAAAAATCGTTGTGGTTTTGATGCCTAGGTAAGAACAGTTCTTGCTAGAAGCCCATAGCAGCCACATAAAACTTGCAACAACAAATTAGAGGATGTCTAACTTGTTTTTGCAGGGCTTGCCGTGA